TGCAGATGCACTAGACAGACAAAGAGAAGCAACTGCAGACAAACATGGAAGAGCAAATGTTCTTTCATTTGAAGAAGGAGACCTAGTTTTAATGTCTACATTAAATTCACCGAAGCACGCAGTGACAAACGTGGGCAGCAGTAAATTACTGCTCCGGTACATCGGCCCATTTCGTGTGTTGCGCCGAATGGGCAACGCATACAAAGATTCGAACTGCCCCGTAAGATGCGTACGCATCCTACGTTTTACGTTGGACGTCTCCGCCCGTACTATCAGTACGGGCCCGTTTCGAGATACGAAGAACACCTCCGCAGTCGAGAGCCGAGACCATCTTCGAGTGGCCCGTTTGATAGAGCTAGTTGGTCGACTAGCGAAGTGACCTGTTCGCGCAGTTGAACGATGTCTCGACGAGCTACAGCCAGCTCTTCACGAAGAAAAGAGTCGAACGTCCGTTCTCAAGTTGCGCAAACGAAAAAGCGGCACGATCGTCCGAACGATCGTGCGTTAGGGAATTGTAATTATCCCTTACAAGATCCTCAAGCCCATAACGCCGAGACCGTTCATGAGCCAGGTCATCTTGCAACTGTTCCGTGAGACGGTTCAGCTCTTGAACATAAAGTTCAAATTGATCCGACCCTCGAGCTGGATCAGGTGTTCCCACCTCCACCACATCCTTTGGTGGACTCAAGCGGTGGTCAACGCTTCCTAGTAAATCGCATTTTGAACCACCGCGATGTGAATGGCGTCCGGACGAGTTACCCCCGTCCTCTAGTATGGCTATCCACCGGCGTGAGATAGCTGGGAGCCTCGTGCCCAGCTGATTGTTGATGTCCTTGGTCTCATCGAGCAGTACGACGAGACCCACCCGCTGCGTTTGAAGAAGGGCCGTCGGAAAACGACCTTCCCGAACGCGAGTACAGGGATTGCAAGGTGTCAATCCCTTCGGCCATCTCGGAAGAGATGCGCGTTCAGTAGGGATCATTAGGGAGGTAGGCCTTCTTAGGGGCACGGTCCGAGTTTTCCAGGCAACCTGGACACGAATCACCCCACGATAGACAGGGTAATCCTGCCTCTCTTGAAAGCCGGTGCAACTTGTATCGCGCCCCGACTGGGTTGCGTTTATCATACCTGATGCGAGCTGCATCAAGTTTGGCGAGCCAAGCCTCACGGCCAATACAATCGATGTTGTGGATGAGGGCATTCCATCCCTGCACCAAGGCTTTGTCGTCCTGAACACGGCTACCATTGTACCATCGATGTTTGAAAAACGCATCGGTGCAGAATTCTTCCTCAGCACGGATAGTTTCCGTGCTGAAATCAGGTGGGCAAATCTTCCTGCAATCATGCAACGGGACTCGATCCCGTTCGGTAGTCGTGCTGGCCACTCGATGTAACTACTTGTATGACGGCATCCATGGAGACTCCACTTGGGGAGCGTGGCGCAGGACATTCCGGTCCCTGGCCTCTTGATTGGTGCCAGCATGAGCTCTGGTACCAGTGTTACCCCGATCCCTCGAGTTACTTTGCTAGTGGCGATGCATAGGGATACCATCACCATCACCACGCGTCCTATCGTTGGATGGGCTTGCGTGAGGCGAGAATTCGTCGGAACAATCGCTCGGTCCGAAGATCTCGGTCATGATACTGCCGCGCTGACCAGAGCCAGTCAACTTGGCTCTTGCAGAGTTCGCCCGGGTGATTCCGAGGCGTGAGGAGTCGCCTTCGAGTCGGATGCATCATCCGACTCGCCAAAAACAATGAGCTCTATCTCAGAATCGTCTTGGTTACGACCCGAGGTACCCACTGCAGACGCAACGAACGTACCTGACGCACGTGGTGACTCACCACGTGTAGGATTCACGACAACAGGCGACGAATCACCTTCTGCTGAGGCGTGAGAGGCACATTCCGCGGCCGCACGCATGCGTGCAGCCGCTCTTCTTGCTGCTGCAGTAGCAGCTCGCGTGAATTTTGAAACCATGCTTTGGGTTTGCAAATGAATGGAATTTGACCAACAAGTGCTCCCTTTCCCAAAGTGATCCAACGGTGGTCACCCTGTCCCAAACAATCCTAGTTCAATCAGCGGGTGATTGATAGTGAAGGGGGGGTGATGTAACGGGGTAGCCCGTTACATATAATTGATACCAAACGGTGTCAATAGGAAATATTGTCTTGCGTGACAATATTCTACCGATATTATCCGGGATGGAAATATTGAAGGAATATTATCCACTTTTAGGATAAAATTCATGCGCTGCTCAAAGATTAATTGATGTACCACATATCAACCATAGATTGTCACCAATCGCAGCTAGACGCGCGCAATGAGTGGTGAGCTGGTTGTCGTCATACGACGGCGAAGTTTAAAATAGTTGGATAAAGATTAGAGTTACATTGATAGCTTAACTAAATCAAATGCAGTTCTCTTTTTATCTTTACTTGGCCGAGTCATTTAAGTAGATTAGCTTCCTCTGCACGTACTAGTGTACGTGAAGTTTCGCGGCACCCCAAACAAAGGGTGCCCCGTTACATAATATGTGAAGAAAGCCTCGCTACCGCTTGAAAGCTGGCGCGTTTGCGTCGGCACGTACGATTGATGCAGAACGTCGCTTGAGCAGCATAGAGATCCTAGGTGTACACTGAATCGGTGCTTTTATGAATACCGTTGCGATCCTTATCACCGTGACGTGTACAAATCCGTCTGACCGAGATGTTCTGCATGTAGAGGAAACAACCACATTGATGACTTATTGCGATCTACGAAGTGTGAAAGCTGTAAGCAAGCATACGTCAATGCACCGCAATCGCTGCCGAAGTGGATACTTGCTCTCCTTTATTGGCCAGTAGCGCGTTATTTGTATCGGGACACCGTCTCCAGCAGCTCCAGCACCGGGTGTTCACAGGTCGGTTCGTGCCATTCGACGTTGTGCTGTGGACTTCCATGTATTCTCCGATACCTGGCCCTCTCACGACGAGCATATGTACTGTGAGCTTGACTGTTCTTCGAAGCGCCTCCGACCGTAGAGGAAAGTGGTTTACAACACTCCTCCTGTACCAACCAAACCACCCAAAAACCATCTTGCTCCCACGTCGTGGTGTTGTGCTGATCCACAGAACCTCGAGCGACAATGAGATAGTGTCACCGCTCTGGAATGCATGACTTGATACAGTACCAAAAGTCGACTCACCATAAAACACTTCCACAACAGCAAGTGCCCGATCGAACCATGAAGCAGATAATACACGTTACACAATGACAAGTGTACCGAACAACTTGTTGTAAGTGGACGATGTCAGCCATCTTGTGGACAGACCCTATGATGAAGCATAGCCAAGTAAGCATCCAGACGGCTTGTCTATCAGTTGCAGGCTGACACTCGGATCAGCCACCATCTCACCAGATCTTTCGTTGCTTCATTTGTCTGCCTGGTATGCATTGTCTTGCAAGTAGGCCAACGGCTCATTTGCTCCATGGTAGTCTCTCTGGCACGCAAGCATGTTGTAGGCGCATGGCTGCAAAAAGAAGGTGTCAAAACGAATGAGCACCTCCCGAGGCGTCCGAATTAGGAATGATGCATGTTCATCTGCTCGCAATACCCGATGATACAGCTGAGTGCAAGGTTATTGGTATTGAGCTGTTCAGTCACAACCTGCACGTCATTTTCGTGCCAGCGATTTTGTCCTCCAGACAACTATTTATCAAGATCACGTATTGCACGTAGTTTTCCGCATGCCTCTGTATCGTGACGAAGAAGTCAGGCGTGGATTCCTCGTTTCATGCAGTAGGCACTCCTGTAAATGCCTTGTTACTGCACTGCAAGCAGAATAGAAAGGAACTCGCATCCCACCGAAGGTGGCGACATTGTCGTAGATGGACGCAAAGACCAGGATGTTAGTGACAGTACGAGGATGCGCAATGATGCTGAGTAGTAACTGCACTCTTCAATGTTACGGGTCAACCTTTGTTTGGGGTGCCGCGAAACTTCACGAACACTAGTACGTGCAGAGGAAGCTATTCTACTTAAACGACTCGGTCAAGTAAAGATAAAAAAGAACTGCATTTGATTTAGTTAAGCTATCAATGTAACTCTAATCTTTATCCAACTATTTTAAACTACGCCGTCGTATGACGACAACCAGCTCACCACTCATTGCGCGCGTCTTGCTGCAATTGGTGACAATCTATGGTTGATATGTGGTACATCAACCAATCTTTGAGCAGCGCATGAATTTTATCCTAAAGGTGGATAATATTCCTTCAATATTTCCATCCCGGATAACATCGGTAGAATATTATTACGCTAGACAATATTTCCTATTGACACCGTTTGGTATCAATTTTATGTAACGGGCTACCCCGTTACATCACCCTTCCTTCACTATCAATCACTCGCTGATTGAATTAGGATTGTTTGGGACAGGGTGACCACCGTTGGATCACTTTGGGAAAGGGAGCACTTGTTGGTCAAATTCCATTCATTTGCAAACCCAAACCATGGTTTCAAAAAATCACGCGAGCTGCTACTGCAGCAGCAAGAAGAGCGGCTGCACGCATGCGTGCGGCCGCGGAATGTGCCTCTCACGCCTCAGCAGAAGGTGATTCGTCGCCTGTTGTCGTGAATCCTACACGTGGTGAGTCACCACGTGCGTCAGGTACGTTCGTTGCGTCTGCAGTGGGTACCTCGGGTCGTAACCAAGACGATTCTGAGATAGAGCTCATTGTTTTTTGGCGAGTCGGATGATGCATCCGACTCGAAGGCGACTCCTCACGCCTCGGAATCACCCGGGGCGAACTCTGCAAGAGCCAAGTTGACTGGCTCTGGTCAGCGCGGCAGTATCATGACCGAGATCTTCGGATCGAGCGATTGTTCCGACGAATTCTCGCCTCACGCAAGCCCATCCAACGATAGGACGCGTGGTGATGGTGATGGTATCCCTATGCATCGCCACTAGCAAAGTAACTCGAGGGATCGGGGTAACACTGGTACCAGAGCTCATGCTGGCACCAATCAAGAGGCCAGGGACCGGAATGTCCTGCGCCACGCTCCCCAAGTGGAGTCTCCATGGATGCCGTCATACAAGTAGTTACATCGAGTGGCCAGCACGACTACCGAACGGGATCGAGTCCCGTTGCATGATTGCAGGAAGATTTGCCCACCTGATTTCAGCACGGAAACTATCCGTGCTGAGGAAGAATTCTGCACCGATGCGTTTTTCAAACATCGATGGTACAATGGTAGCCGTGTTCAGGACGGCAAAGCCTTGGTGCAGGGATGGAATGCCCTCATCCACAACATCGATTGTATTGGCCGTGAGGCTTGGCTCGCCAAACTTGATGCAGCTCGCATCAGGTTTGATAAACGCAACCCAGTCGGGGCGCGATACAAGTTGCACCGGCTTTCAAGAGAGGCAGGATTACCCTGTCTATCGTGGGGTGATTCGTGTCCAGGTTGCCTGGAAAACTCGGACCGTGCCCCTAAGAAGGCCTACCTCCCTAATGATCCCTACTGAACGCGCATCTCTTCCGAGATGGCCGAAGGGATTGACACCTTGCAATCCCTGTACTCGCGTTCGGGAAGGTCGTTTTCCGACGGCCCTTCTTCAAACGCAGCGGGTGGGTCTCGTCGTACTGCTCGATGAGACCAAGGACATCAACAATCAGCTGGGCACGAGGCTCCCAGCTATCTCACGCCGGTGGATAGCCATACTAGAGGACGGGGTAACTCGTCCGGACGCCATTCACATCGCGGTGGTTCAAAATGCGATTTACTAGGAAGCGTTGACCACCGCTTGAGTCCACCAAAGGATGTGGTGGAGGTGGGAACACCTGATCCAGCTCGAGGGTCGGATCAATTTGAACTTTATGTTCAAGAGCTGAACCGTCTCACGGAACAGTTGCAAGATGACCTGGCTCATGAACGGTCTCGGCGTTATGGGCTTGAGGATCTTGTAAGGGATAATTACAATTCCCTAACGCACGATCGTTCGGACGATCGTGCCGCTTTTTCGTTTGCGCAACTTGAGAACGGACGTTCGACTCTTTTTCTTCGTGAAGAGCTGGCTGTAGCTCGTCGAGACATCGTTCAACTGCGTGAACAGGTCGCTTCGCTAGTCGACTAACTAGCTCTATCAAACGGGCCACTCGAAGATGGTCTCGGCTCTCGACTGCGGAGGTGTTCTTCGTATCTCGAAACGGGCCCGTACTGATAGTACGGGCGGAGACGTCCAACGTAAAACGTAGGATGCGTACGCATCTTACGGGGCAGTTCAATCGTGTATGCGTTGCCCATTCGGCGCAACACACGAAATGGACCGATGTACCGGAGCAGTAATGTACTGCTGCCCACGTTTGTCACTGCGTGCTTCGGTGAGTTTAATGTAGACATTAAAACTAGGTCTCCTTCTTCAAATGAAAGAACATTTGCTCTTCCATGTTTGTCTGCATTTCTCTTTTGTCTGTCTAGTGCATCTGCAACAGAGTCCTGAACGAAGCGGACAACCGCTTCGCGAGTCAGCAGAAATTCCTCTGCTGATTCATTCCTTGTCAACAGCAGTGTGCTTCGTGTGCACTGCTGAAAGAGCGTTGTCTTCACCAGTGAGGGTGTCATCGTCCTCACTGTGGCAGTCATTGGCGATGCTGAATATACCAGCATCGTCGTCACCAACATCATCATCGATGTCGATGTGGTCGACGTCGGTATCCATCACGTCGACACCATTGTCGACGGGTGATGAGCAAGAACCAGATCGGTTTTTGCTCGAGCGAGTCCACCCCCCCTTAAACTAGAGTCACACTCTAAGAAGGCGGGTAAATGTGGGTGGCGTATTCCATTCACGAAGAATGGTGTATGCGTTGTAGACGCGTGCACCGAGTTGTTGATGACGAATTCCGCCATCGGCAAGAACTCACTCCAGCTCGTAAACGAGTGTACATACCCTCGAATTATCTCTTCGAGAGAGCTGTTGACGCGTTCCGTTTGA